GTTTGTGTGATTAAACTCCGAGTCCGGTGGAGCGCAGTGCACGGAGCGGGGCGCGCGCCGGGTGGCTTGCAGAATCTGGAGCGAGTCCCGGCCGGCAGGCACCCACCGCCCAGGCCTGGAAAAGCGGGCCGCTGTTTGTGTGAGTGTGCAGCCGGCGAGATGGGCTGCGCGGCTGAGCACTCACCACCCGGCGGGTCGGCGGCTCCGAGGGAGGGAGCGGAATCAACAGAAACTCCACGCGGCTTGTGCGCGGGTGGCCGGGCTGCGAGACCACGGCAACTCCTGCGGGGCTAGTCCAGTACCAGCGGGATTGCTAATTCAGGCCCCCAGGGCATGGTAACTAGGCTGTGTGTGGCTGGTTTTAATAGTCCCTCAGTCCACATGGTTAGAGGCCAAAGCATACTTGGATTTTAGCAGCGGCACCTAAAGGCAATTCTCTCCTGCAAGTAATGGAAAGAGCCTGAAGGCATCCTGTTCATGTGGTCGGATTTTCACTACTTTCCGCAAAGATCAATTGGTAGTTGACTTAAACTGCAATGTCCTGCAGCTAGGGAGAGCTCAAGGTGGAGCCACAAAAGTTCTTTAGATTGACTCTAAATGGAGTCACTCGTTCTAAACCATGCCAGCAAACCCAAAACGTATATCTAACCTAATTGCAGTTTCAGCCTCCCCCAGGTGTAGAGTTTTAAATCAATCAATCTGGAATTTCCTGATCAACACTAGTGAGGTAATCTGCCTGACAAGACCCCTTGCCCTTCCTGGCCCCAAAGGGAAGGTGAGCTTGCCTAAAACAATCCTTTCTTTTCCTTTTTTCTTCAATGGAGATACTGGAGATTGAACGCAGGACCTCGTGCATGTTAAGCACCTGCTTACCATTGAGCTATACCCCTGCCCCCAGATCATCTTTTAAAATTAGGTTCCCAGCTGCCCCCATTCTCTATTTTGTGCCCTTTATTTCCTTCTTAGTTATCACAATTTGTAATGACTTGTTTGACTACTATCTCCCCAACTACATTGTAAAATAGAAAATTACCTACTTCCTATTTTACCTGCTTATTACCTATTTCTAGAATAAATTCAATGAGGGTATTATTCACTGCTCTGTTCCCAGCACCTTGTCAAGTGCTGGCTCCCCTAATATCTCTAGAACAATCTGTTGACAAGACAAAGCCGAGTTTATTGCTTACCCCTTGACAGTCTCACAACAACCTCATGGGAAGATGAGCAAGGCCATGGCATTTACTGAGACTTTGAAGTCTGGTTTAAGGCAGGTCTTTCCATGCTAGTACAGGAGCAGGGGTTGATTAGGGTTGGGGAAGGGTCATGGTATAATAGTTTAGAATGAACACAAAACCCAGGATTGACTGAAGACCTGGAAGACAGGCCACCAGCATCAGTTATGATCCCACTTCCCTTCCTCACCAGAAGCCATTTTCCCTCAGACAAAATGTCAGATATCTTGTCTCTAAAGAAATTGAACCAACTGTCTGACGGAAGTTAGTGCTTCTAGTATGAATGTTGGAGGTCCAGAATAAATGTTCCTTAGTCAAGCATTTGGGGTAGCCCACTGTCTGATAGTCAACCATCAACCCTTCCCACCCCAATTGAAGCCTTTCAGTTGTTATGTTCTATCCTGATCCACAAAGAATTTCTAGTCAGAATTTCCACTGGGGAGAAACCTAGAGGAGAAGTAGTATAATACATATACCAGCAGAGGAAGCCCAGAATACGTGGGTAATTCTTTATTAAAAATTGCCAGTGATCACCATGCATGTGAGGAGAACCAGTAGCTTGCAAAGAAAGACCAAAATAAACAAACAAAAAAACTGACACTGGAGGAAACAGAGATAATTCAGGATATAAAGAGAACTACTTAATATACTTAGAGATTCAAAAAGACAAAATATCCATCAAGCAAGAACTGGATGCTCTGTGAAAAAGGAACAATCAGAGAACAAGAAATACTTTGCAGAGACTAAACATGTGGTTACAAAAATAAAGTTTTCAATATAAGGATTAAAACATAGAGTTGAGAAAAAAAATTCCTAAAAATATAAAGCAAAAAGAGGAAAAAGTAGAATCAGGGAAGAAAGACAGCAAGCATAGAACACCAATCCTAAAGGACTGTACAGTTATTAGGAACCCCAGAAAATAATGATGAATAAGTTGGAGGGAAGGAAAATATCTTAGGAAAAAATAAGAAAATTTCCACAACTGAAGGTCACGTCTTCATTGTGAAAGAGTTTATTTTGTGCTCAAGTTAATGAATGAAAAATCATATTTAGACACTTCTGCATGAAATTTCAGAACATTCGGAATAAAGAGATGTTAAAAGTTTCTAAAGAGAAAAACAATTCATCTCCAAAGAAACAAGAATCAAAATGACTAGAGACTTTTCAAATAACACCACATCCTAGAAGATTGAATGGAGAAATGCATGCACAGTTTTGAGAGAAAAGAATTTCTACCTAGAATTTTATATCTAGCCAAACAGATAAAGACTTGTTCTGACATGCAAAGTTGGCCTTCATACACACTGTTCTAGAAAATGGAGGATGTATTCTAGAAAATGTGGTCACAAATCAGATAGAAGACAAAATAACATATAGTAAACAGTGAATCTAAGCTCGAAGTTCAGTGAATGAAGGTGCCAGGATGATGACTGTAGAGCAAGTTTAAGGAGTAATGAGTTCCAGTGGGAGGAGGAGGCAAAATGGGGCTTGAATGAATGGTATGAACGATAACTTGGAAAAAAGTAAGACATGATATAAGTAAAGAGTCCAAGAAGAAAGAAAAGCAATCAGAATCTCTAGGAAAATTCCAAAACTGAAGAAGATATTTTTTGATTTAAATGATAATCAAGGTATAATAATGACATGGTTGGATTTCATTGACACAATAGTTGAAATAGTCTCGTGGGTTGTAGGACTGAGCACATGGAGTAGAAAGTGTAATCCTGCCCATTGTTTGGCCTGAGTTTGACCATTATTCACATGGCCATCATTATGTAAGTACTGTTCACTGGATCTCAACTTTTAGAGTCAATGTAGAAATATCCAGAAGACTTGTTGTGGTTGCAGGAAAGATTGTAAATACTCAAAATCTTGACTTTGTAAATGTGAGGCTGAGAAAAGGTTGCATGTGGAAGTGAGGAGAGGAAAAGGAGCTAGAAGCTGGTCTTTCTTTCCAGAGATACTGAGAAGGGACAGAACCAAAGTAGACGGAACCAGTAAGTCCACAAATAAATGCTGGAGAGGGTGTGGAGAAAAGGGAACCCTCCTACATTGTTAGTGGGAGTGTAGTTTGGTACAGCCATTACGGAAAACAGTATGGCGATTCCTTAAAAAAGTAAAAATAGGCTTATCATATGATCTAGGACCCCACACCTGGGCATATATCGAGGGGGAACTCTAATTCGAAAAGATACATGCACCCCAGTGTTCACAGTAGCACTATTTACAATAGCCAAGACATGGAAGCAACCTAAATGCCCATCAACAGATGATTGGATAAAGAAGTTGTGGCATATAT